CTCATAAAATTTAACTAACAATTTATCACCACGAACAGGACTCTTATATTTTTGTGGTTTATTTCAACCAATGTATGTGTAATTTTGACGTTATATTAATTAAAACTTTCTTATTTTAATGTCAACCAAATCAAACGACATCAAAAATTCATGAGTTTTTATAAAAATTATTTAATTATGATGGTTAGGAAGAAAATTTATCAAAACACCGGAATAACTTTATTTAAAACAATTAAGTTTAACAAACAAATTATTATGGTTGCGCTCATAAAATTTAACTAACAATTTATTACATGGCTTTGCTCAAAATAATGCATTAAATACAAAAGAGGCGTTTCGATTGTGATACTGATTTGTGTACGCTGTGTGACTGTACGTGGCGTGCGCTTGACGTCGCATAGATGTGCATACCCTACCAAAACGAGACAAGGCGTCGGGTAGAATCGGGTAGCGTCACATAGCGTTGCATGGGGTAAGTGTGTTCCCCGCTTAAGGATAGACCATGCGATGTTGACACGAACATTTACGTTTGGGCCAAAGCTTGTATTTATCCAGCGAATAGAGAAAGGTTGCTCGATTTGTCAGTATCGGTCTCGATTGAAGGAATTTATGATTATTGTGCTTTATCATGGCAGGGAGTATTTGTTTCCTCTATTCCGATTTTTGGAGAAGACAAGAATGTTTTACTGTATATAGTACTTCTAAGATACGATAACTATCTCCTCTTTGAGTATACTTAGACTGGATGTATGTATATGCGTGAATGTGTGATGCGATAGGGGCCGATGGCGGAAAGATGATATCCAATGACCCTCAATTAAATACTAATAACATGTGTAGAGGGTGAGAGGAATATCAAGTATTCCACCACCCTAACTGAGCGAATGATATGTAAATAGTAAAGAATGTATTTAAGAATGAGTGAAAGAGCCGTTGAGGGCTGGAATGACTTAGATGTTGATAGCCCCTGGAGTTCAACCTCGGTGCCTGGAAGGATAAATACGAGGCTTGAGCTCAGACCCTCGGATTATAAAATAGCTGGATTGCCGGCGAGCTGCAAAAAGTGATCACCTCTTTACACGTGAACTGTATGTTTGTACGTGCTTGCTGTTTGCTCTTTATATAAATCAGTATTACAAAAATACTGAAAAAAGAGACCCACAATTTAGCATATATAACATCTGATATGGAAATTTTATATCTGAAAATAATTTTAGTTCTAATTGGACAAACTAACCAATGCTATGGAATTTTAGCATTGGTTAAAGTGATCTTTGTTGAAACTCATCTCATACATTTACCCTAATGAACGTTGATGCAAGAACATTTTAATATTTTTTTATTTGCTAAATAAAGCCTTTTTATTTTCTCCATTTCGTCGATGAGATGAAATACGTATCCCAAAATTTTAATTATAGTTTTTTTAGAGATTGAAAGACTAACTTTTTTTATAAGATAAATCCTTTATCCCCTTTATAAAGCGTACTGAAAAATATTTCATACCCAAATCATCCATAAAAATGTCGTTGCGTTCAACAAAGAGGAAAAAAGAAATTAAGACTCTCTCGTTGGACATTATCATTTAGGAAACGGAATTCTGGCTCTTTGAGATGCAAATTTGTTTAAATAATAATTTGAATATTGATTTCCTTAATGCTAAATGCAGCTGTGATGTTCCAATCAGTGATGTGTACCGGATCGTTTGACTAGAAGACTAGTTGACATTTCGAAGCTGATTTCGCATCCGACAAGCACTTTGGGGTATTTCGCTGAAAACAAACACTTCCTTTAGGCTTGAGAATCCAAGTACGGGAGGAATTTGCGATTTAACTGATGACCGAACATCGTGCTCGTTTACGAACTGATTGCCTAGTCAGTTTTACTGTTGTTTAATGTCTTGTTTAAATAATTTAACAATTTTTTCTACTTTGGCGACTGGTTCCCTGTGCAACTATTATTTAGGAACTTAGGAATTTCGGCTTGGTTACAACGTAATAATTAATTCCATTATATTTCGTGGACCGATTGGCCAAATAACTTCTTTCAATTAATTAATCTTTCTGTAAGGTATTGGTTGAAATGAAAAACCTAGTGTTACGAGCGGGATTCGAACCCACGACCTTCGGCTAAATACGCTGCTGCTCTACCACTTGAGCTATTGTTACTTCGATCCACTCGGACACCAACCTCCCATCTCAATTAGAGTCATAATTAATGTAATATCACTTTTGTGTTTTATCAATTTGATAAGATCATAATATATTGCAATTTATAAATAAATATCTATCAGGTATTAAATTTCTTCTTTCCTAACCAAGCTACATCCAACATCCAAGAACAACTTGAGCTTAACGTAGACTGGTGCAAAAGTGGTGGACAACAGTGCTCATACAACGAACTTACAGTGAACATATCCGACATACAGCGCATCCAATCCTTCCAATCAAAAGTCTTCAGACAAATTGACAAAGTTCCATATTACGTCACTAACCTCACTATCCACAACGAAGACCTCAACATTCCTTTTGTCCAACCAACTGATCTGTTCCCGATTCCAAAAGTTTCACACCAACCACTCCCCTATTTGGCTCGAGTTTTAAATAATAATTGATTCCGTTCTGTCCCATTGATTTTTGTGTTCCGAATTTGTATACAAAGTTAAGTATATTTGTTTTCATAGTGATATCTCCCTCCATCACCTATTTAGGAATGGACTGGCTAATTTATAAAACTTTAATTTACTGTATACTATAAGTATCAAATTTTAAGTATTCGAATGAAAGCAGTTCACCCTGTATTTTGTTTTGATAAAGGGGTCAGCTGGCTAAAAAGTTTAGGAAATCCTGAATTAAGTAATCTATAAGATAAAATAATGCTTACTAGTTAGTAACTTAAACACAGACAATAAGTAAAAGTCTAATCCAAGAGAAAAAAATAAATACATTTTTTTAATAATAAACAAAATTATTTACATTTCTTCTTACTTTCTCGTCGTAAGTAATTAACTTAAATTTTATTTTTGAATCGCAACGTTCGCATTGTTTTCACGCAATGGTAATTCCAAAATTGACCAAATTCCCGATGACTTGAACCTGCCTTTGTTGATTGGCCGAGAGAATGTGACTGACCGAGAAGAAGGTCGTCCACTTTATTTCGCGTATGAAATTACCCAAGCGTCAAAAACGTTTTGAAAATTATTTATGAGAAATTGGACGAACCGGATTTGATTACAACGCAGCCGAATAAATTAACCCAAATTGACTTATGAATACGGTGGTTAGTATAAATATTGATTATAATGAAAAAAGTTAATTAGGAAATTTCAAAGAATAGTGTACAAATTTCAACTACCTTAGTCATAAAAATTATAATAGACGGTACAGACGGACAGTATATCAAATTGGTTGAATTTAAAATATGCATTCAAAATCCAATTGCACCATTGTTTTCAGCGTAAAACATCCTTTAAAATGGTGTGTCCGGATGTATACAGTCGTATTTGAAATTTTAAAGTGAACAGGGCCTGAGGTACCCTGTATAATTTTCCCCCAAAAAAGAAAACACTAAAAATAATACTTTTTTATACACTTTTTTCCTATCTCTCGGTCCTCGATTTATTGCAAGTGGCGACTTCAATGCGAAATATCCCCAACTAGGCGCCTAATCCTCGTGGTTGGGCGTGGACCGTGCCCCAAGTAACTACGATCCTCTTTCCAAAACAACCTACTTATTGGCCCACTCACAAACGTCCTGATATCCTCGACTACTTTGTATATTCCCATAATTTGTCCACTACATCCAGGAATTATGAACCTTCATAATCCAGAAAGTGACCACTCCCCTGTGCTCCTGGTTCTTCAAACCTCTCAATTTTCTGTTCATCCTAAGCCTAGACTGATAACAGGACTCGTCGACAGAGATCGTTTCAGATATTCCTTGACCAATCCCTAGAGGTCAACGTATCAATCAATACTCCTGTACAGATAGACGGCGCAGTAATCATACTGACAACCTCTACACAAAACAAACCCAACGCAAAAATACCGACAGTACCCACCATCTTCCACTATACACAAGGACATTAATTACAGAAAAACGGCGTGCTCGTACCGCTTAGCAATGCTCGAGGTACCTGTCGGAATCGACTCAATAGACAACTTAAGGCGTAACTACAAACCTCAAAAACAAATAACATGATAATTTCACCGCCCAGTTAACCCCGATAATAATTCTCTATGGATGACCACAAAACGTATTCTTTCATATAAGACTCTCTACGAAGGGGATGGAAAGAGTGAACGGAAGCCAAATTGGTAGGAAGGAACGATTTTATGAGTACCTAGGATGTGTACTTTGAGCGCTTTAAAGGAAGGAGGCTGATGGATCTGTGTATGGCCTTTTGTGGGAGGTTTCGAAGTATGGTGGAGTTGATTAGATTATGTCCCGGAGATTTTCTGCTCGGTTATTTGTGAATGTGATATTTTACTTCAGAAGGATGAAAAGGTTTGAGTGGGAGGTGATAAAGGAAGTGGTACACTAATGTTATGCATTATATGTGTGCGTGAAAGACAACATATATGTCATGATGAGGAGTAAAGGTGGATTCTAAATGGGATACAAATAAGTTTAACGTACCTTAGTCAATTTTGTATTGGTTCAAATATAGAAGTTATATCGGGTTTTCCTAATTAATTTATCTAAAAAAATTGAAGTTCAGAAAATGTAAAGATTAGCTGGGGTAGAGGCAAGAATTTTGTTCAAGATTTTATATTTATAATAACACAGGCAGGCGGTTGAATAACCATTCTCTTAGAAGCTAAAGTTTTTGTTTGATATTTGTACTTGAATTTTTGTTTGTTTATTTAATTTATAAATAAATAAAGCTTTTTATCTATCTAATTTGTAATAAATTTATAACTTTGATGTGCTTTTTTAATTATCATTGAAGTTACACATAAAGATCTGAGCGTGGGGTTGATATTTACAAAATGTTAAATTAGGTTTATCTGGAGGCGTCTTAATGGACTTTTGGGGACGAGCGAAGCCGAGGTGAGGTGGACGATTCCCGAACGAACCCCTACGGGGACTTACCGCATCAGGCATTTCGGCCACTTCAAGTACGTCTACGGCCGTATCGATCCTTACACAGGAGTAACTTCCACGTTTCAGGTAACGGAAATTTTACTAAATAACTCAAATAGCTTACCGATGAAATACAATGTTCTAAATGTTCCAGGTCGTGAATTAAATCCGGCTAACAAACCGCAGTTGTGGAAATTAGTGGTTGTTTTTTTTAAATGTGTTAAACTAATATAACGTTGATATAAGTGAAGCCTTATTTTTATAATTAATTTTGAACAAAATTATATACATTTATGTTAATAAAACAAATAGTTTTGTACATTTCATGAACCTTTGTCCCCTTTGCCGACGGTTTTTTCCCTTATAACATTGATCTTTTTATAAAAGCCTGTAGAATAATGATATAACTTGGCCGTTTCTCAAATTATTTTGATTTTGCCGATTCTAGCTCTCTAGCGAGGCACCGACAGAAAACCCTGCATGGAAGATGAAAAAACCGACACTCGTTGGATTACCAAAACGGCGAGGAAAACCAGATAAAAATAATCGAATTTTTTTTATAACAGTCTGATCGAATTTTTTCTGGTCGTTTCGTTGGTGACAGAATCAGTGTAAATTATTCTGTAAAAACTGACTACACAAGTTATTTGTTTTAGATATTCTATTAGGCCAAAAAGCAAGAAACCCCATTTTTATATCTAATCTTCCTTAATTTTCATTGTACTCAATCGATAACACTGCGAAATAATTTCTAGATACATAAATGTTCATCTTTTTCCAAACATAATCGCTCAATGAAAAGTTTATATAAAATGTCACTGTATTCTGTACGAGTTGAAGAACAACTGGTTGCATATTTGATGAACATTGGTTATTTGTCCTCGCTTTTCGAACAAGTAACATTAAATGAGCATGTACGAAAGAAGTTAAAATTAAATTACTGGATGATAAAATGTCTTGTTTATGTTAACAGAGTCGAATTATATAAGAAAAAAGTATATAAGAAAAATTATTTACATACGAAATGGTCAAACTAGGTAAAAAAGTCATGAATATTAATTTTGATTACGTAATAATTACACAGGATCTACATAAAAAATAGGGGTCCAAAAATTAAAATCGATGGTCTGTAAGAGACTCTTTTAATGAAATATTTACACGACGAGTTAAAAATTAGAGTAGTCGATGGCAGCAACGGTTAATGCTTTGAGATTTACGGCAGTCATCAATGAAAGATAAATGTTCCGGGTTCGAATTTAGTGGCCCTGTATTCGAACCCAACATAAAAAAAGCAAGAACAGATAATAAAGTTTATGAAAAAAATATTAATCCACAAATTAAAACGAAAATAATACAAATCGTTTGAAGTATTGCAAAATATAATAAGAAGAAGATATTGTTTTCTAAGAATTATCGAAATAAAAATCAGGCTCAAAAAAACAAAGCCTTAATTATATCGATGTAGTTTATTTATGTTAAAATAGTATAATGATAGGCTGAAACGCCCAATTTTTCAAAGGACACGTTAAACAAAGGAAAAAGGCTTTCCCCAGCTGGATTAAGCAAAGGTCAAAAGAAACCTTCCTTTCATTCGGCAAATTAATCATTAAAGGGGTCAGCAAAAACTGATCTCTGCTTAACGTAAAATTAGAAGAAGCCAGGCAACGTTTATTAGCAGAAGAAAATTGATAAGATAGCTTCAGGTAGAAAAACTAAATACAGGTAATAGTAACAAGAAAAAATATTAAAAATTCGTCCCTAAGGGGTAATATAAACTCAACTATACAATATATATCACAGAAAATCTTCTGCTTATAGTACATATAACAGTAAATGTTTAATTACCAAGTAAAGATTATATGAGTCAGAAGCAATTCAGTCATAAACGAGATAGGACATAAAAGAAGAATATTGTGGAAGATTCGAAGATAAACGACTTTTCGTACAATTAACATATACTTAATTTGCTTATTTTGTATTTATCTGTTTTGATTATTTATTAAATATTTCATATTTTATCCTAAAACTCTGTGAACTTGTATTTTATTGAAAACAGTTAGGGCCTTTCATCATGCTCATTTAATGTATATTTACAATACGCAAATTTACTTTCACCAGAGCCTATAAAAAATATGCGTGCGAGCGAACGACGAAGAAATCAACTGAGTCAACACAAATAATCTGGATCACGGTATCCATATGTAGGGTCTTGTCGAAAAAGCCAATTCAGTGGCTACTGATAAGCTTTGGAACGGTTTTATGATCATCATCTGGGCCTGCATTAATTTCACATTGCGAATATGTATTTATATAGTTGATTCAACAAACTAACAATATAACTATATAGATCTTACAAAACTATCTTAACTATGTGTGGTTTTTAGTGACCGTTAGTTAATGATTATTTGGAGATCATAAGATGCGGTCTGGTATGACGTATATTTTAGAAAAACATTTTCTTTATCGAGCCAACGTTTCGTTCTTTATTGAGATCATCTTCTGGGCCTGGGATTGATAAATATTGTTTAAATTTAACAAATAGATGTAGGATGTGATCTGTGATGATATCTTACTATGTCTACAAATTAACATAATAAAATTTTCAACAGCTGATTTCAAATTTCTTTGAATACAGACTCAGTTCTAACAATACTAAGCTCTGTAACAGTATTGCAACCTTACCCCGTAGGCTCTCCCGGGACCATAGCCTTCGGTCATGGTTTCGAATCCGGCTCGTCACACTAAATTTTTCATCTCTAGCAAGACCCTACAGAAAAATTTTAATTTATTGAATTAATAATTAAATTTTAATTGTATCTTCTATGCGATCGACCAGCGAAAAACATACATATAGTGGTTAAAAAAACCACTATAATAATCTACGTGACTATTATTGAATAAAGGCTGGACGATTTCATAGAAGTTACAATTATTACTACTTCAATTAATCATAATTTGTTTATATATATATATATATATATATACAGGGTGAATTGCTACTCGTGCTACAAACTTCTCCAGTAGATTCTTCACCCTAAAATGAACAAAAAAGTTCATATTGTCCATGGTCCGATTCTCAACCATTTCAGAGTAATTTCGCTTTTTATCGATTTTGAAAGATATCACGTCCTGGCGTCGGAAAATCGTGATATCTTTTAATCTAAACATTTCTCTGAAAATCTAATAGCACCGTTGAAATTC